ATATATATATAATATTTTTATCTTCTACCTTAGATTTTGTCAAAAACGCATTACAAGCTTTCCTTCTTTGATTTTAAATCTATAGGATTTAAAACTGAAAAAATTCTGTGTCAAACATATAATTGTTGACCATAGATACATTTGGTTTTTAAAACCTCCAAAAGACTTTCAAACTTATGTATACTGACCACGACTTGTAAATGTATATGTATGTGTACACCAACTCTGCCTCAAATAATCTCCATGCTGAAGTAGCCCTTTGGAACCAAACTTGTATTGGTTATGGGGTTAGGCAGCATGGGGAAGGTTGATAACCACCACGGATTCAGCACTAGGGACAGGGCCATTCACCTTCAGCCTGCTAAGGCAGCCATTTGGCACCAAATATGTATTGCTCACAGAGTTAGGCAGCAGGAAGAGTCTTAATTTTTCATGGTTGGTGACAGTACACTAAAGTAGCCATTTGGCACCAAACTGTATTGCTAAGGGCACGGTCACATTTCCAAGCCGGGGCCTGGCCGGGTTGTTTGCGTGAACGAAAAATTAACAATTTGTATGAAGAGTATATACACATAGTGCTCATGGTTAATTTTCTAAAACTTTATTTGCGTTTTGCTGTCTTATATCATAATTTTCGTTCCACACGACTGCCCGGCCGGGCCCCGGGTTGGGAAATGTGACCGCGCCTTTACAGGGTTAGGCAGCAGGGAGAAGGTTGAATTAAAAAAAAAACGTATTGATTTTTCATGGTTGATCTAACCAAGCAAATATTTTCTTAAATGGAATGTTATTAGCTATAATGGATATTGTGTTATAAATATGCATGTTTTGTAACATCTCATGATATTGAAAAAGAACTGAATCATCTAAGTGAGAGTAACTGATCGTGGTGTTTTGTTGGTTCCTTACAGAGACGAAGATTTGTCCAGGAAGGTCGCCAGATCCTGGACGGTCTGTTCAACGCCATCATCAGCACCACGAGGCCAGGAGCCCCGGCGGTCACCATCGAGAGGGGCGGCATCACGCTGCGTGCCCAGAGAATGTGGGGCGACCAGTTTGGAGGCCAGGTCGTGCAGACGGAGGATGGGAGCTTCCAACTTCCGTCTAAAACAGCACTTTTCGCGGACTATACTCCGCACAACGTCGCTATGAAGGTACGTGTCATGTCAAGCCCTCAGGTCATCAGTGATCCTTGTCTTTCCTCTCCTGTGTGATGATGTGAATGGAACAGCTCAATTCCCATCATTGTTTAAAATATTTATTTTAATCCGTCTAATGTATTTGTCATTCACTGTAATTATTCACGGGTTGTGAGTGAGTGAGTGAGTGAGAGATACATTTTTTGTTAGAATTTGCTAGTGCAAAAATGTCTATTTTCCTTACTTATAGATACTATGCATTTACTCCTATCATAATATTAAACCTTGTGTATTTGGATGCTCTTGGAAATCAGTGTAGCTTGACTGAAGGGACTACTCAATTCTGTACTTAGTCTAGATCAGAAAATCAACATCATAATATCCTTTTTAGGAAACATTGCAGAATTCCTATAAATCACCATGTTTTTGCATAAATTTTCACATCCTCATAGTTATGAACATTGAATCATTGCAGAGGAATTTTGCTTTTACAGGTTACCCAACTGCATTTTTTGGTGCTTGAATCAAACATGAAGTACATATATTTTTTATGTATTTTGTTTATGACAGAATGTTACAAAACAACATGACCTTTTGAGAATTTTATTTTGTTGTGTTCCAGTTGACGCAGTTTCAACAGAACATTTTTACCTGGGGGCGCGGGGAGTACCAACCACGTTCGTCTGTCATGGAACTGTCACTTCAGCAGAACAACTTCCCTGTGTCCTTCAACAACTTGACTGAAGACTTCAACATCACCATTCCGGCCAAACCCGGAAACAAACCAGCTACAACAACCGTCACCATCCCTGCCCAAGGAAACGGAAGTTCCAGCTACCATTTGCTGAACCTCACCAACGCCGCAGAAGGCTTCCTGGTCACAATCATCCCGCTGAACACCAGCGTTGTTTACCGTGTGTCGGGCAGGTACGGCGGCCGCCCTGATGACCAAAACTACAACATGTCCACAGAGACGTACATCCTACCCGAGGAGTGTGCCTTGATGAAAACTCTGAGTGGCGAGGAAGACACAGAGAAGACAGAGGCAAGAATGTTCATCTCGGGAGAGGATGGTCCTGTGGATTACTACATCAAGGTCGAAATACTTGGTGAGTAGTTTTCAAACAAAAACGTGCTTGACAGAACTAGAAGGTGAATGTGTGTGCCAGATAAAGTGCAATTGTCTTGTCCATAATGATCACTTAACTTGGTTTGTTGATATCTGTTCTTTGTTGTGAAGGAAAGGTATGAATGTGTGATGAATGTTTGAAGAGGTTTTGAATGTTGATATGTTTCAATCTACAGTGTGATATTTAAATTATATGTAACATTTGATTATAGAAAGTTGCCTTATGTTGATGTTTGCAATGTTTTGATGTTTACTTGCTTGTCTAGAATCTTATCTAAAATCTCCATTACCAAAATACATAATATTATATTGTGTAACAACATGTTGCGATATTTGAGTATTTCTACACTTTTTCAGGACCAGTGACTGAGTGTGGCAGTGAGAAAAGAACCGACGTGAAGGAGCCACACACCGCTGACTCCTACGCCTACCAGATGGAATGGGCCCGTTTGGGCTGTGTCTTCTGGAGCGAGACGCAGGAAGCCTGGAGAACGGACGGCTGCTCGGTGGGTACAGCTGCAGACTCTCCTTGGTTTTGGGACGACTTCGTTCTTAGTATTCAGAATTGTTATAATAATACATATTATGCTAAATACTTCATTACCAGATGATTTGATTAAAATTTACATGATTTTATGTGACCTTCCACAATTCAGAAATAAGTAAATGCTTAAAAATTGCTCTGTTATTCGAAAAGTTATTCTGAATCCATAACTATCCCCATCTAATTGTAACAAATTATTACAAGTTTGATCTTTACTACTTAGTAAGTACTGAGGCTGTTGACCATTCTTTGCTTCGGTGATGTGGAAAACAGCAAAATGTTTAGCAATATGGATTGTCCTTCTAGTCCATGACCTACACATATTATTGATCAATCATATCTAAAGCTGTAAACATCCATCAATAATAAAATTAATAATCTGTATTCCGCTACTTTCAAGATAATGGTATCATAATTTTAAGATCATGGTAAATGATAGATAGATGAATGTAGATAGCATGCTTTAATTTCTAGATTGTTATAGGTTTTCCAAATTATGTCAAAGGACCCATGTTTGGACTCAATGTGATCTTAACAACATGTCTCTTTACTGCTTTCCACAGATAAGCGAGCATTCCACCATTTCCAGAACTATCTGTCACTGCAACCATCTGACAGCCTTCGGGAGTGACTTCGCCACACCACCGAACACCATCGTGTTCGAGGCGTTGAACTTCAGGGATCTTGCAGACAACGGTGCCGTCGTGACAACCATCCTTGTGACGTTCTGTCTCTACTCGCTCACATCAGTCGCGATCAAGATCGCTGAGCGTAGAGGAAAAGGGGTGGTAAGTGGGCCTCACCAGTCACCCATATCAGGCCAGCAGAAGTGGTCATGTGTAATGTCAAGTCTTTGCTCTGTGGACTTGTTATTTCTAATAGATTTTCTGGTACTTCTTTCTCAATCAGCACATGTTTAATATCAATCATTAGTTTGGTAGTGAAAGCCAGGCCTTTCCAACTAGCCACTTACTATCTCAAAGGCTCTAAACCCTGCCCTCCATGTAACATATAAATAAAGTCTAAAGGTAGCTTTTTTATTCTTCAATCTACTTGTATGTATGTGAACATTTATATTATGTTCTATCTCTTCGTGCATTGCTACAGTTAAATGTAGCTATAAGGTTGGACAACCTTCAGGACAACTTCCGGTACCGCCTCCTCATCTGGACAGGTGGAGCTAAGCATGCTGGGACAGAGTCTACAGTTGCCTTCAAGCTGTTCGGAGATGCAGCAAACTCTGATGTGAGACTGGTCAACCTCACAGAGAAGGTTAGGCCATCAAATTAAGCATTGATCACTCCTATTGCAATTTCACCACCCAACTTTCCTCTGCAGATGTTTTAACTCGCAGCATGTCCTAACAGGTGGAATTTCTGTTGCTGTTTAGGTTTTCACCCGAACCAGCCAGGTGACCCTGACCTTCAGCACAGCAGAACAGCTGGGTAAGCTGGAGCTGCTGCAGCTCATGCACGACAACAGTGGGGAGGGGAGCCGCGCATCGTGGCACGTGGACCGAGCAGCCGTGCAGGATCTCACCACGGGCAAACTGTGAGTCCAGCCAAGCGCTGTCTACTTTCATCCAATCATAATCATTGGAGGGTTGTTCAATAAAGATTTCACCTGACCCACTTCCAGGTGTTGTGGAAGCTAATTTTTTTCCTCTGCCATTTGGGCCTCTGGAGGTTTTGTTCAATGTGCTACTTTTAAAAGCACTCTTTGGTCACCTTTCTATTTACATTTAATATGATACTCTTCTTTTTACAGCAACTTGGGTCTTCAGTGCTGCTTTTTTTTGTATTGAAATTTGAATGAGATTTTTGAATGTTGAGTAAACATGTGTTGTCATGAGTCGAATTTTTAATGTCTTAAATTAGTACAGGGAAACTGTTAAACTGTTTATATTAATTGAACATCCTTCAATGCTTAATTTTCCTAAAATATTACCTGTGTTTCTGTTTTTAAATCCATCTTAAAATATTACATCTAACAGAGTTATATTTCTGTCTCTTGGAACTGCAGGTTCTATTTCTTCTGCGACGAGTGGTTGGCAGCCGACCGCGGGGACGGGCAGGTCGTGAAGACCTTTCCTGTCGCCTCTGAGGAGGACCTGCGATCCTTCGGGTTCCTGTTCCCGGCAAGTCTGCGCCATAACCTGGCTAGAGGAACACCTTCTTCTGTCCGTCGCCTTCAGGCCTGAAGGTATCATCAATTTTGTTTGTTCAAGTTTAATGCAAAATTTTTATCTGGCTCACCTGAGGTAGTCTATAGATATGCATGTCTAAAATTTTCCTCATACTAGTCATTATCTTTTTATATTTGCATAATGTTTCATTACTTCTTGCTGGCTGCGTTTCATCTGGAGTGTTGCTTTCATTATTTATTATTAAGACCAACTTGTCTTGATAAAAATGTCCCCATTATGTTTCCTCTACAGGTAGCACGTTCACCCGCATCGAGAGGCTTGGCTGCTGCCTGAGTTTCTTCGCTGCGTCCATGGTGTCCAGCGCCATGTGGCTGAAGGATGAAGTAGAAACCGAGATCGTGCAGGGCTTCAGCCTGGGGCCATTCTCCTTCACCTTGAACGGAGTCTACACGGGGTTCATGGCCAGCATCACCTGCCTTCCCGTGGTAACAGCCATAGTGCTGCTGTTCCAGTACAGCCGGCCGAGCAGCAAGGGCGACCGCCGGATCCGAGACGTGGAGACGGGCGGCCAACCCACCCAGAGGGGTCCGGCCAAGCGCCTGCCACACGGGTGCAGGTACGTGGCCTGGATGCTGGTGATGCTGTCTTTCCTGGGGTCAGCTGTCTTCACCACGCTGTTCAGCATGCAGTGGGGCAGGGACAAGACCAACAAGTGGCTGTCTGCGTTCCTCATCACCTTTCTGGCAGACGTCTTCCTTATGCAACCAGGGAAGGTAACAATGTTGTGATTATTATATTTGTTTCAGTTCTGATGTATAAATTACTTTTATTGTTAAACACCTTAACATACCACCTGTCAGCACCATTAAAGCTAGGATATCAATTTCATGATTACATGTTTGTTGTAGTTGCCATGTTTAATGTATTTACCGAAAATAGCTACTTTACTTACTGCTATTAATGCCAGTCCCAGCATGTAGGGCAGCAACAAAGATTCTCCGGTTCTCTCTCTGTCCTGGGCTGTTCTCTGGATGCTGTCACAGGTGTGGCTGACGCTCTTCAGTTCTTTCCCAACTGTTCTACACCAAGTGATCTTATAATATACATGTAGGCCATCCTTGCTTTCTCTTCCCTTCAGGTGTCCAATGCAGTGCTGTTCTAATGTTTTAACATTCACTCAGGTCTTTTACCAGCACATGGCCTATCCATTTCCATCTCTTTATAATGATAATGGTTTCCATACATTCTTTTTTTCCATTTGTTGTACAGTTCTTCATTTGAAATGATGCTTGGTCAAAAGTTGCCATGTACAATGTATTTACAAGAATAGCATATCATGGTAAACACATTGTAATGTGTTTACCATTATATACTTTAAAAAGCGCTACCTGCCGATAGCATTCAAGCACAATATAGTTGTATCAGGTATTTTGTTACCTAGACAAACATTTGTTTTTTTAGCTTAAATTCAAAACAATACATGCTGAATACAAGCCACATCATATAGGATGATATCACAATCTGAATTGCTCAGACACCCTAACGGCCAAGTCTTTTATCTTACAGATATTTCTTCTTGCCATCTTCACTTCATCCCTTCGCAAGACACGAGCCGTCAAGAAGATTTTTGAAGAGAAACGGGACCGCGTTTGGATGGAAGCCAATGCTGTGTCAGGCTTCAACTGTAAGTTTTTAACATCAAGTACTAAGTTAAACTTAATTCCACCAGGTCACAAAATATCCAAGACTTAGATTATATATCCACCACCCAGACAAAATGCATCTAAACACAGCATCACCCAGTATATTAATACACACCAGGACCTGTATACTAAGTACATGTATCTATAAAGCCATGCATACTTGGGTGGTGCGGCACTATACATGTAGCTACTAGATAGAGATCTCTAAAAACATTGTTTTCAAAGTGGGGGAGATATAAATTATGTAGCCTGCCCATGGCAGATCAATGTTAATAGGGGTTAATGTAAAAACACAATGATTATCATATACCATAATTTTCTGATGATGAAGTATTTAAAAACTATAATACAGGATGTTATTCATTTATTTCTGTTTTATTATGATTGTGAAAGAAAGCCATTTTCTGCATTATGAGTGTGCTCCCGTTTTGTCAATTGATCTGACATTTCTTTTTGCTTACATTTTTGGTGTTGTTTCCACTTTTCTAACAAATACAGACCATATTGACTTTATTTATATTTTTCTTGCTTACTACAGGCGATGCATTTCGCACAAGGAGAAAGATGGAGCGACTTTCGATGACATCCCTTATCAACATTAAACAAGCAAGGAAGAAGCAGCGCAGGGACAGGAGGAATGGCGAAATCCTTCGGGACATCATGGTGTCTTGCTTTTACGTGCTGCTTGTCCTCAGCATCACCAATGAACACCACAGCACCACCCAGGCCTTCTATCAGACACAGAGTGCAACCAACACCTTTGTGCAGTCCTTGGACGAGGTAAAATCATTACAGGGCCTTACATTGTACATTGGTGTCTGATCACTAAATCATTGCATTGGTCAGATTATCCTTTGAAGCCAGTGGAAACCCTTTATTCATGTTGACACAGGTAACAACTAAATTACATTTCCCCCAAGATTATTATTTTCTAATTTATTAATAGTTGTTCTTGTAAATTGTTTTGAACAAAAAGAATGAAAATATAAAATCATGGAATTTGAATGACTTGGAAATATTCGTCTATAGTTATAGCTGAAAAAATTAAAGGAGCAATATTAATTGTGTTGATCTAATTTGCAAAACTATGTGACTGAATGAACTTCAGAGAAGAAATGGTATAAATGGATAATTTGAGACAATATATGTCACTTTTGCAAAAGCATGCCTCTTAACCATGACTGTTTACAAACACTATACATGTGTATGTATGTATATATAATGAAGTAAATTTTATCTGATTCAATGTTTCTATCTTATACCCGAAAATTGAAGAACAATCAATGAAAAGATAGAAGATTGTGAATAACCTTTTTCTCAACCACTGTATCTTCTATTATGCACAGAATTAGAACATGAATTCAAATGTCCACAATTTAAGTTTGTAATGAGGAATTTACAATATTATTTCTTCGTTCAATAAAATCACTAGTTTTCTTTTTCTCCACAGGTAAATGATGCTGATACCTTCTGGTCCTGGCTGAACGGGACCGCTCTGGAGAACTTCTACCCGGAGACTTCCTACAATGATGACAAGCTTCGCTGGCAGGAGAAGGGCTTTACAGCAGACATGCAGTCGGTCCTGGTCGCCCCGCCAAGCATGATCCAAGCCCGAGTAAAGCCAGGTGGGTGAAAACACTTTGCACATGGAACATTTGCTGTGGGCTCACATGGCAAACATTACCAAATACCAAAGGAAACCTGAGTAGTGAAAAGTTACATTTACAGTTAAATTCAACGAATCATTATGATCTTTTTATTCATCAAAAAATATTTCAAGGAAACCTACCTAAAATTAAGAGGATGCCAAAATAGCAAAACTGCAAACCTCTAATTTGTGACTTACTTTTTGTCCTTACCATCTCCTGCCATCCCAGGGCTGTGCACAGTGCCAGCAGCAATGCAGGAGTCGTTTGACGAATGTTCATCAGGGTACAATGAACACACCAAGGAGACCGGGGCGTTTCAAAAGGGTTGGGAAAGGGTAATGAATACGTCAGCGATGGAATCAGAATCCCCTGGATGGACCTACCTCCCCAGTGGATACCGCAGTTTCCCCATCTACGGTGTGACGACGCGATACTGGGGAGACGGCTTCGAGCTGAACCTGGGAAAATCTGCAGACGAGATGCGCAGCATCCTGGCAGAGCTGAAGGCCAACCGTTGGATCGACAAGCGGACGAGGGCCATCTTCTTGGAAGCGTTGCTCTACAACGGGAACCTGGATCTGTTTACATCGGTGACGATGGTGTTTGAATTCTCCGAGACGGCCGGAGTTTTCACCCATCATCGCGTGCAGGCCTTCCGACTTCACCAACGGCCGGGGACGATCGGGTACATCTACGTCCTGCTGGAAATCACTTACGTCATCGTTCTCCTCTACACACTGTGGAAAGAGATGAAAACTGCACGCGCAGTGGGCTGGGCCTACCTGATGGAGCCATGGCAGGTTGTGGAAATCTTGAACTTCTTCTTGGCATTCACTGTCATCGCCTTGTATGGCTTCAAGAGAACCTACAGCTCCATGGCTCTGGCAGCGATCAATGCTGGGAAAGGTGTGTTTCACATTTATGCAAAATCGGTAAACCATACATATCATATAAAAATTTCACTTGCTTACTGTTTGAAAACATTCAACATTCTTGGACAGATTATGGAAGGTAATCATTTTACACTGTTCTAATTATATGCAACGCTCTTCTTCAAGATGAAGTTCACCATTTCCGATCTGCGGTGAGCGTAAGCCTGGTTTACGGCTGGTTCCTGGCCTTCCTGACGTTTGTCAACATGTTGAAGTTTCTCCGGCTGCTGAGGTTCAACCCATTCCTCGCCAAGCTGATGTCCATGATCAGAGGGATGTCTTTGGAGTTCTCTTCCTTCACCATCTACCTCTTCATCTGCATGTCAGCATTCGGCGTCTATGCTCATCTCAAGTTCGGCCTTACTGTGGCGGAGTACAGGTAAGGAAACATGTATCCTATTTGTATCAAATACAAACTCTTAGTTAGAAAAGCTGGATGATATCTTTTTTTCAACTTAGTTTTAGTACTGCAGTAGGGATACAAACTTTGTGACTTCTAGAAATATGATGATACCATGACTGTAACATATATGATGATATCATGACTGTAACAATGATTTGATTTTTTTCAGCACCATCAGCAAGTCCTTCTCCACCCTGTTCCAGATGTCTCTTGGAAACTTCTACTACCACGAGCTGCGGGAGGCATCCCCCATCCTCGGCCCCATCTACTTCATCACTTTCATTTGCATAATCTTCCTGGTGTTGATGAACATCGCCATGGCGATCATCGACAGCTCCCTTCCCGATATGCGGAACCACATTATGTCTGAGGAGGACCAGTACTTCATCCAGGGGTTGTGGGAACGCTTCACGGCCTTCTTCGGCTTCTGGAAGGTGCCAGTTGCAGGTAGCGTAGTCCTCGGTTTAACCAACGGAGAAAGTCTATCATTTTTTGGGTCTCAATTTTGTTGGAAAGTGACTTGCTTGGTCCCTGCACTAGTTGGCAAATTAGGGACTTGAACCCAGGATCTTTGATCCATCACTCCAGTTATAATGCTACAGAACCACACTCCCTGAATCCCTTTGTTTCCTCTGCCCCACTGAGTTTTACTTCCTTTACTCAAAACAGTTGGTTTCTCTTAATTCATAATATTATCTAGTGTAAGCTAATATATAATATTTTGCTGCATATGTTATCAAATTTTATTGTCTTTGTTCAATTTTATGATATATTGTCTGCTGGTCATAGTATGTCATCATGATTAGTAATTATCATAATTTCAGTTACAGGGAGGCCCTGGAAAAGTATCTGGCCTTCTCTGCATTGTTTTTTTTTAAATATGTATTACGCTTTGTTATCAAATAATTCATTTCATGTGTGATTAAGAAACGCTGATTGAACCCTTTAAATTGGTACAGAAAACAAAGCGTTGGACACTCTTCATGACAGCCTGGTCGAGGTGGAGATTAAAGTGGAGAAACTGTGGCTGCAGAGGCAGTTGCTCTTCAACCTCGAGTAAGTACACATTTTCCAAAAAAAGTGTACTCTATAAGCACAGTATCTAAAATAGCCTTGAAACTTGATTTGTTAAAAGATAAACACTCAACATGTAAGATTTTTAGAAACTCACTCAGACACTTCTATCCTCACAGGATGAAGGACGCAGACCTCCCTGCAGAGCCTGAGTTTGTTCCGACTGTCAAAGATGTTCCCGATGCTACAGCCGTGGAACTTCATGTCCCCAAAGGAGGCTGCCGCATCATCGCGGTCCGTCCTGCATCCCCAAACAGCCGCACAGTCGACAGCAGTCAAGCAATCTGCTCCAACAGCAAGGTGCCAGTGGTGGTGGCATCCAGGTCTCCATCAAAAGAGGACACACAGGAAAGCCAGTATCATTACTACAAGGAGTGTGAAGTGGGGAGGCTAAGTGTCAACTTGAGTGCTGGTGACAAGGCGGTTCTGACAAGCAACGAGATGCTGACAGACGACCACATCCAGGCTGCCCAGAAGCTGCTCCACCACCAGTACCCGGCACTCCAAGGCCTGGAAGCCCCTACAGTTGGTCTCTGCGAGGACGGGTTTGCCAAGATGACAGGAAAGGGGCTACAAATCCACCACAACAGCAGATCCCACTGGGTTCTGTCGTCTTACACAGACGGACAGGTTCGCCTGTATGACAGCATTGGCGCCGACATGACCACATCTCTGCAGGTCCAGCTTTACCAGACCTACTCCGCATTTGCCGACCAAGAGAGTAACGTTCTGACCATCATCCTACCAGAGGTACAGCGTCAGAACAATTTCTTTGATTGTGGACTGTTTGCCATCGCCTGGGCAGTGGACATCGCACAGGGGCAAGACGTGAGCAGCATTGCGTATGACGACAGGAAGATGAGGAGCCATTTGAATAAGTGCTTTGAACAGGGAAGGCTCACACCATTTCCTCATCTGACCGGCCACAGGAAGAAAGTTGGTCTAACCAGGGTCAGCAGAATCTCACTGGTTTGTCGCTGCAAGCAGGAGGAGGGTCTGGGAAGGATTGAGACGTGCAGGTCATGCCAGAGGATCTTTCACGTCAGTTGCCTGCCGGTTATCCCTCTCAGTGATGACACATGGAAATGTGGAGACTGCGCCGTGTAAAGTACAAAATGCACCGTAAAAACTGCTTAACATCTGGATGAACTGTTTGCCTCCTGGTGGAAGGAAAGAAATTATAGAGACTTGGCTTGGCGTCTTAAAAATGATGTCAAAATGTAAGAACACCAGTAACTGAGTAATATTTTTGCCAATGACATACTATTGTGACTATTTCACTATATATAGTCTACAATATGACTTTGATGGGTACAGTGTCAGGTACTTTGTTGTCAGGACATTTCAAATATTCTGGAATAATTTCTCTTATAGTAACATATCACTGGTATATGTGTTAAAATGTATGTGTTATATATGTTTAAAACATTTGTAAATAGCAAGAATTATCAGTTATTTACTAGTTATGAGAGAGCAAAACTGGTTGAACTTCATTATTTGTGATTTCAAGATCTGTATAGGAAATCAAAGATGGAGTTTTGGATGGTTTCATATTCATGAATGTTCACAGTTAGGGAATAACACTTCTGTTAAATGGTTGATTTGAAGCTTCATAGTTCTAAACAAATGTATAATTTTGCCGTGGAAGAACTTGCTTTATTAAAAGTTTTACTAAGGACATGGCATCTATATATTTCTTGTCTCGAAGTTGTTTGAAGGAGATGAATTTTTTTTAAATTTAGGCCACATCAATTTGATTAACTGGCTCTCAGATTTGCCCGCTTCTTTTTTCTGGTTTGCAAAAAAATGCAGTTCAACTAGTTGAAGAAAGCTTCTTGCCTTCGTAGTTGTTACAGTTTACCCATCTTTTAATGCATTGATATTGTTAAAGAGGTTGAAATTCATTGAATAATTAGCAAAATAAAGTCACAGACAACAGATATGAGACCCCATGACCCCGATTTATTACGTATGCACAAACTCCAGATGTTTCCTTGTCTCACAATGCACAAGTCATAAAACAGTACATCTTGTCCACCTACACCTTACAACACAGTAATCAAGAGACAATAGTTCACTTGTCAACAAAATTCGTAATTTCTATCTGATTAGCCTTGGTTTGTTCCATGCTTGTTCCATGCTAAAAAGCTAACAAACAATGATTGATCAAATGCATCCTGAAATCATGTGCGTAATTCGCACCAATTCAGATAAAAATTTAAAACATTTAGCATAGAAATAATGTACTAATTGATAAGTAAACTACGCCACATCAAACCCTGTGTTTTGCATATTGAGTCATTGTCTCGTTACCCCATTTTTTTCACCGCGGTATATTTTTGCTGCAAGTGATCAGGTAAAGAATAGTGGTAGAATTTAAAATAGCTAAAGCTACTTTGTGTTTAGCTATTTCATGTGTGAGCGTAGAACTGGGAGCCATTATCCTTAGTTGTAAAAATCGCAACTTGCTAAATTCTATATACTGTATTTTTAAATGCAGAGCCTAAACTATTGCTTCTATGGTGGTGCAATAGACCTCATTCCAGATACATGATTCTATTCTCGCGAGAGCGTATCCTTGGCGTGACCGCGCGTGACCTCGCACGAAAACGAGACCGCCGTTGGGTCACTCCCGGTCAGGTTTCCCATTGAGGCGGCCTAACAATGGAGCCTTCCACAGTCGATAGCGATACTCCAACTTCAACGGTGAGTTTTGCCCGTCCAGTGTAAAATATTGCCGGAATTACTGCTTTCACGGGTAGAGAATGTTGTTGTGGGCATGTGGGATCGATTTCGGCGGGTAGAAATGCATGTTTCTTCCGATTTTGAACAGTTTGGACGGGCGGCATTGTAGCGTATACGTATGTGATGCACTTTGTTTACATGCTACGTACGCAGCAAACTCATATAATATGGAGAAAAATATCGAGCTTAGCCGGGTATATAGCCACAAAAACCTAAAAATGTTGGCCCTGGAGTCTTGTGGGTGGAAATTTATGGAGTGTTCGGCGATTTCTCCGTAGATTTATCGATTATAGCGTCTAATGTCCGGCCGTACGTAGAGTGAAACTTTCGTAACTTGGGGAGGGGGTCCCCCGTTTATTATTATTATTTGTCGATGGGACTTTACTAGAATAGAACGGTAGAAAAACATAACTTACCTGTGTGAGATCCTGTTGGGTAGAAATACGTCTCTTGAACGAAATTTTGGCGGTCGCCCTGAAGATTCATCGATTACAACGTCAAAGCGCCCAGCCTAGTTTTTAGTCACTCACGCAGTGTGGGAGAGGCGGGGCATGTGTTTTTCTAAACGTCCTACGTTTTTGGAGACGGGGATTTTCCAATGTTTACAATATTATAAGAACATCATAAACAGTGTCTGGATGAGATCCTGGCTTCGGGTGGTTCATGTTCTCATTTCTTTATTTATATCTATGTCTTTGTCTAAAACCTTAAACTTTACTCACAAATAATATTCTTCTTATTAATCTGGCATTGCTAAAAAAATATAACTGTTAATGAAAATTTCCATATTGTATGATTCCAGGTGCAGCACCCGTCCTTCACTCCTGGGTGAAGCAGAAACCAGAGAGACCAGCTCCAAAGAAGAGATGTTCTCCCACCAAGAAAAAGAAAGGAGCTTGTGGACTTAACAAAGTAAATGTTGCATGTCAACTACAATGTACATAGTTTGAATTTTATTCCATAAAGTTTTGTATCAGTAATGTCCGCATAATTTTCTTTTCGGATGCTAATAAAAACATACTTGGATTGCTTCACATGGTATTTTACTTCTTGTAAAGTAACACTTCATATTGTTGCACTCAAACATTGTCATTGCATTTTTGACTGACTTTAAAGATTGATGAACCTGAGGACTCCTCCGCTTGTTGTTCGGATCCTGGTCTCGACACCAACATGGCTATACTTCAACCTGACCTGGCAACATCCCCATCACCGACTGCACTGCCATCACAGACCACATCTTCACCATGCTTACCTGACAAACTTTTTACCACCACTTGTACAGAACTACTGAAACTGTCATGTTTATTGAAGTGGCATTGTATTTACATGTGTCTGAAGGTTACAAGAACATGTACATGTTTTTTCACAAATAAAAAAATGATGAGAAGCAACTTCAAGGAAGTGTTCCTAACTTACATGTATTTTGGAATTTTGGGTACTCTCATGTATGTAATCTACTCATACATGATCTAGTGAAAAAAATGAATCATGGCTACATGTTTCAATGAGAAGCAAATGGTGGAAAACCAACTTAAA